AAAAAAAAGTACTTAGTATTCCTATAATCCCAGCCACTCAGGAGACTATGGCAGGAGGATCATAAGTTCAAGGCCAGTTTGAACAATTTAAGGAGACTTTATCTCAAAATAAAACCCAAAGGACAAAAAAAAAAAAAAAAAAAAAAGACCAGGGATGTACTCCATATTAGTGCCTTTGGGTTCAATCTCCAGTACTAAAAGGGGAAAAGAAACAACAAGAACAAAAATTCGGACTAGTAATTATGATTTTCATTTTTTCCATCTACAACCAGTAAAAACCCAGAGCCTGGTGTTGAAGAAAGGGGTACAGTGGGAAGGAACTGAGCCATTTCTTTTTCCTCTTCTTCTTTTTCTTCCTCTCCCCTCCTCCTCTTCCTGTTGTGCATTATTTAAATGTTTTCCTTAGCGTATAGAAAATTGTATTTTGAGGTTAACTGACAATTTCTTAGCTTTCTCCTTTTCTCTGGAGTATTGTTATTTATGGGAAAGTAATATCTTGATCTGAAAGTAGAACTGTACACATTCCAGTTGCATCTGCCTTTATTCCTGTGGCTGTCATTCAGTTGTGTCCTTTGTGCTTTCTCCACACCTGAGAAGGGTTCTGGTCCACGCAGTTTTAAAGCCCTGGCCCAAGATGTCCTGAAGGTGCTTTGAACAGCTTCATGGGCTTGAGTTGAACAAAAAGTCTAGATATCTTTTAGTGTGTGGGTAAAGCCCCATCAACACTTGGCAAGTTGCTAACTGGTCCTAAGTAGTACTCACGGGCTGCCCTTTACTCAGATGAGCTGTTTAAGGCCGAGAAACTGAACATTTCTGTAGAACCTCTCCCAGATATGTTTGCTGTTTGTCTTGCTTATCTTTTAAAGCTGATAGATGAGTGAATCAACATAATTGTCAGTCATTATCTTGTGTTTTCCTATCCTCAGGAAAATGCAGTCAAATTCTTTAAATTTTTGCAGTTAAAACAATTGATGTCTTGGTTATTCACATTTCTAGGTTAGGTATCCATGGGGAAGGTCATCCCTTTTTGGGGTGCATTGTTTGTGCCTTGAGATCTAGCTGTTAGGGTTGTTGAAGTTTTTCTGACTTCTAGAGAATGAAGACTCTTATTTCCTCTCTCTATTGCTGAGAAATGAATTTGGGCTTGCTCATAATAGCATGTGTTTTATTTGAATAGTAAGGGATATAATTACTTTTAGAGAAAGCAAGCAAATTTTCCTAAGTCTGAGGGAGTGGCTAGGAGTTCTTCGACTCTTTGTGACTGCAGACCTACATGGAATCTGGTGTCTCTTCAGTTTTCTTGATGTGTTGTACATGACCATGGTCTTTTTTTGTTCCTAGAAACCAGTGTTGTTCAAACTATTGGGTATGGGTAGCAGAGAATTATTGAAGATCTGAGAGTTGACTAGGCTGAGCCAGGAGCTCTGGGTAGGATTAGGATGGTTTCCTCTGTCAGGCCAGTTTCTTGTCTGTTTCTTTTGTTAGTTAAGAAGTCCTAACTAGAAAAATGAGGAGATGAATGGTGGATGCAACATTTTTATTATTTGCTATATGCTTAGATGGAATTGACTTAGGAAAAATTGACAAGCATTTTGAAAGTGTTTATCCCTCCACATTTTATGTTAAAGGAAGTAGAAAATATCATGATTTGAATATGTGTAGGTTGAATAGATATAAAATGTGGACTGAGTGAGGGCATATTTTTACCTTGCTTTATTTTCATTTTTGGTGCTAAAGATTGAATCTTTGGCCTGGAACATGCTCTACAGCTACTGAATTATACTCCTAAGTCTTCAAAAAAAAAAAAAGGTATGCATACATATACACATCATTTTTTTTCTTCTTTTTAATGTTGTCTTTGGGATTGAAGCTAGGGTCTTAAGCAAGGCAGGCAAACACTGTACCAATTGAGCTACACACCTAGTTTCTCTTGCTTATCTTTTAAAGCTAATAGATTAGTGAATCAATATGTCAGTCATTATCTTGTGTTTTTCTTCCCTCAGGAAAATGCAGTCAAATTCTTTAAATTGTTACAGTTAAAGGAATTGATTGATGTCTTGGTTATTCACATTTGTAGGTTAGATAGCCAATGAGGAAGGTCATCGTTTTTTGGGGTACATTCTTTGTTCTCCTCAAATGATTAGTCTCTAGAGTATGGGAAGTTGCTCTTATTATTTTATTTTAAATTTGTATTTGATAGCACCATCACCATTCAAAACAGCAGCTATGTACCAGAAAAGCTGACAAGAATATTGATTTTTTTCTACTTTTTTTTTTATAAGAAGAGAAAGCAAAACTTGACTGTGGACATTTGATTTTCCCAGTCTTATGAAAAGACTTTTTCTTATGCTTAATTTTTCTCAATTATGCACTTGTGCTTTCCTTCACCAGTGCTGAAAATCTATGGAGAAGAATCTGTTCAGGAGACATGTAGATATTTTGTAATTATGAGGGAAATTCATCATATACACTAGGACATTTTCAAATTAAGTAATTTGAAATAATTTCCAGGAACATAGTTAAACCTGCAGGAACATAGTTTTTTTAAGTCAGATTCTCTGCCAACATTTCACTGCACTTGCTTCCATCATCGTGCCTCTTTACGTACCCATTGTGATTTTGAGGGCCATTTGAGAGCAGCTGCCCACATGGTGGTCCTTCAGCCGGACTCTTTGAGCATAGGATGGGCCCTGTCCTATGTACCCTCTCAGTTGTTTCTCTTGTCTAGTGGCAGCCCAGGGAAAGTGGAACTGTCATGGTACTCCTTCCATGACTGACTGACCTCCAGTCTGGTATTGTCTAGTCTCAAACCACCTCAGGTGATATTAAAATTTATCACCTGGCCTTCTGTTTCTGCCAAACTTAACCATAATTACCATGATTCTACCATTTTGTTCTTTGTGATTGATTAGTACTGCGAAAGGAGATGGTTTCAGGTTATCCCAGAA